TAGAAGATGGGACACATAACTTAAACTCAGATACAATAGACATTTCACTTTCAATAAAATACACCAGAATGACCAAAATACCCCTGACTCGAGCATTCTAACAGCTGCTATCATCGAAAAGAAGATGAGGGGTTTCCTCTGGAGAGACTGGAAAGTGCAGAAATACCACTTGGTGAACTGGAACAAGGTATGTCAGCCCAAAGCTGTAGGGGGTCTGGGGGTTAGAAGGGTGAAAAGTATCAATACTGCTCTGCTGGGGAAGTGGTTTTGGAGATTTGGGGAAAGGAGGGCAGTGGAAAAGGGCGGTGCAGGCCAAGTATGGTGTTAGAAATATGGGATGGGATCCAGGAACTTCAAATCACTCCTAGGGATGCTTGGTTTGGAAAGGTATTGAGAAATCTTACCATTGGTTTGCAAAAGGTGTGAAATTCAAAGTAGGAAATGGGGAGAGGGTCAAATTCTGGAAGGATGTTTGGTGTGGGGAGAGACCTTTGAATGAGAGGTTCCCTGTTTTTGTTTGAAGTTGTAGCAAACAAGGAAGCTAAGGTTGCTGAAAGTTTGAAAATCCAAGATGATAATGTGGTTTGGATCCCATAGTTCAGGAGGAATCTAAACGATTGGGAAGTGGAGTGGATGGAACTTCTGCAACTCCTTTACAGTACTCAACTGGAGGAAACAAGGGCTGATAGTAGAATCTTTTTAGAAGGCAGTGGACAGTTCAGAAGGACTTTCAGTTCCAACCCACATCATTTGGAGTAAAAATGTGCCTTCAAAGATATCATTTTTTGTATGGACAGCTTACCTCAACAGAATACTTACAAGGGATAACCTCTCTTGGAAAGGTGCTCTGCTGGACTCAAATAGCTGTGTCCTATGCGAAGGGCATCTGGAAACAGTGAATCATCTATTACTTCACTGCAAATTTTCTTCAGAGATCTGGAACAGAATCTCACATTTATTTGAAGTGAAAAGTTGCTGCCCAGGTTCAGTACAGGATTTTGTAAAAGGTGGGAGAGTGGAGGGCTTGAGTAAAAGAGGAAGATTAGTTTGGAATTTAACCCCAGCAGTGGTTTATTGGTCTGTGGCGAGAAGGAAACAGTTGGGTTTTCAAAAATAAGACAAGTTCTGCTGACTCCATTTTTCAGAAAATTGTGGGAAAGATGTTTTCTTGGTTGTCTGGTAACAGGCTGGTTAGGGGTATAGGTTTTGAGTCCTTTTTTGTACAGGATAATCTTTAAGAAGGGTGGGGTTCAAGTTTAAAGGGATCAGTTTTGTGGTTCCTTTAGCACTTTATCTTGCTGTATGTTTTGTTCATATTTAATACAATGATACTTTACTTTCTCTCTCTCTCAAAAAAAAAAAGCATGTCCAATGTACATATAAGAGATCCAAGGAAATCATACTTCATATTATGATTGTCTGCCTCCCCAGTCAGACCCTCCAATATAGATCAGTCTTGTTTGCAGCTTCCCTTGCAAGGGAACCAGCAGAAGAGTTTTCACTCCATGAGATATGGGGTCCATTTAAGCAGAATGTTCAACCTTGATGCCATAGATCTTGATTCCCTTATGCCATTGGTATGGATCCAAAGGTGAATGGAGAGGCCATCTATGATATGAAACTTGAAACATTATACACTATTACTAGATCGATCACTCCTAGTGGCAGGACCCTACAGACGTTAAGGTAAAAACACCAAAAAAAGAAAAAAAAATCTATCTAGAAACTAAAGAATATAAAAAGGACTTCAATAATTTTAACCCCTAGTTAACTAAACAGTAGCTTTTTGCAAGACTGCTTATAATCTTCACCAACAAGGATCTACAAATTTTCTTTATTTACACTCTTATATTTTTTTTTCTAAAATTTACAGTTACGCTGTATTACTATATCAAAAAGTAATAACCACAAAAGGGCTATCCATCAATCACTGATGTCCACTGCAATCAGCAACTCTATGATAGAGGCCTTACCTTTGAGAGTGCAGCTATTCCTATCATTCCAAGTACACCAATACAAGGCCAAGGAAAGGAAGTTCTAAAGGATAGTACAAAGGGTTCAACTGTGATACCAGAAAATTACAGCCAACCAACCCGTATCATAAAAGAGCTCCACCGGTACCATGTCTTTCTGGTGTCATAGTTCCCTAGTTCAAATTTGCTGAAACCTCAAGTCGTCCATGAGGGAATGAGTGGAAGAAAATGATAACATGGTTTGTGGTCTGTACAAATCCTGTATATTGCATGCAGAAACAAGTGAAAGAAGAGGCAAAATAGAAGAGAAGGGTGGGAGAAGAGAAGAATAAGGGAAGCTCAGTGCACAAGGCTCCTGCCAATGCAGGGTCTGGGGAGGGACAGATGTACGTAGCCTTACCCCTGCACATACAGAGAGAATAACCGGCAGATAATATGTCTTCTGATTCAGAGAAAAACTCAATTCTCCCAGTTGGCCGGCCCTCTTTATATAGCTTTCTTTCTTATGACTGAAACCAAATTGCAACATTACCCCTGCTTTTGAAATATTGTAAGGCCTAAATTACCCCATTTAAGTAAATGAAGAAAAGACATATATGCCCCCAGACCCCAGATCTAAATAACAATAGACAACATGCATAATTTACATAAATGCTAATGATCAATCTCTCAAGTCTCAACATGGGTGAAGGCACAGTTAGCAGTAAATGAGGAACCGACTCCTGAACCACTGCAAAGGTTATTGTTTGTCCTCCCTCTGAAAAGTAGATGAATTAATATATTTTCTAGAAATTCAGTCAACATGAAAGAAGCCTTGGATGGGAGCCTCCCTGATTTCCATGTGAAATGATCTAGTTGGATCAAAGAGATAATCTTAGGACTTCAGCTGGAATCTTCCTTGCCATGTGTATTATAGAGTGGCTTTTCTGGGCTAGATGTATTTGCTTCCCAATCAAATACATGTCAATGAAGATGGGGTGTCCAGAATCCAGACAATCATTCCATTTATTACCTTGTCCTTGATGGTGGCATTTTGGGATGATGCAATATTCCAAAACCTAATCCCTCTTCCTCTACCAGATTTATTATTACCATGACATCCACATGCAACACCTTTGCATCAGCACCACGACCAGCTCTCCCTATTGCAGCAAGAATTGACTGGTCTGGAAAGACTTTGATAGTTTAAATCCAATGATAACCCACAGTTTTCTTATGTAATGAAAGTGTGACAAGTCTCCAAGTATTCTTATGTGGGGTTATCATCTCCTTCCATAGCTGTGCTCCACCCAGGATCATATGACTCCCTCTGTAGATTTGGGATTGGAAATTAAAGATAAAGAAGAGATGAAACTAGAAACAGGAGACAGGCATAAGAAACAAAATTTTCAATATGATGATGGTAAAAATCTTTTACCTCTATGAAGAGTAATATTATGTGATATGTCTAGGTTCTCATATGGAGCAAATACTGGAGTAGGATCACCTGGGTAACCAGTTTGACATCAGAAAATGGACCTTGTATTTGCTTCTTGTTCTCTTCTGATTGTTAATAAATTTTTGTTTTTCATCCAGAAAAACAAGTGTTCTCTAGCTCCCTTCTTTTGTTAAGATGATTCTAGTAGGACCGACATGCATGGATATACATGTTCTTGTAGTGCTCTATACTTGCAAAACTGCAACCTATTTCATTGTGAATCTTTTGTGATCCCAGTGCTGTACAGTACTGCTTCGTGTAATTTGTTAGTCCTGGAAACCACAACCTGAATTTTTGTTTCATTGTGCAGCTTGGGCTTTTGGCCTAATGGAGTTTTCTTTTCTTTCTATTTCGATACATGAATGTATAAGTAGGGCTAAATTTCAAATATTGTCCTGAGGAATTTTGTCTAGCTTTAATTAAGGGAAGGAAAAGAGAAAAAAGTTCATTCTTGTCTGTACAGTTCTTAGGTACATCTCCTAGATAAAAATTGAAGTTCTAATATCTTATCCAAATTCTCTCTGCCTTTTGTGTAAAATTTTGCAGTCTCAACATTCTCTGACACAATTTACTGAAGAATTTGACTTTATGGCCATGAATGAAAAGTTTAAGAAGGATGAGGTATGGGGATATCTTGGAAAGGCAAAGCAAGGGTCTAAAACAGAAGGGATAGAGGAAAATTCAACTGATCAATGTGTGAACAATGATGAGGATAATGGTCAGACAACCAAATCTATTGTCAAAGTAGGTCCTGAAACCTTTATTCTCATTCTAGTTTTAATTTGTCTCCCAATTTAGACATCATTAAGATTAGTGTAGCAACTTTAAGTGCCTGATTCTCTATTAAGCTATTGTTGCTGAAAAACTGAAGTGACGTTCTTACTGTTGTAAGTGAACTTGAGCTCTGTTGTATCTGTATGCAGCCTGTATATGTTAAGGATGAATTCTTTGACACACTTTCTTGCAACTCACTTTCCCATGGAGCGAAGAATGAACGGCCTAAGTTTTCAGAGCGAATGAAACTTGATATTGAGGTTTACTTTTTGGGTTTTCATTTCTTCTCTTCAGAAGTGGAATGCCAGGAAACATAGTTATGTTGATGACTAACAAACTCTTCAATTTGTCTTGCAGACCTTTGGCGATTTTCAGCAGAGGCCTCGTTTATCTCGTGGTGGTCGTGGAAGTGGCCGTGGTAGACATTACAGGGGCTCACATAACTGGGGAAGGGGATATGGCTATGGTGGGAGGGGTCGTAGTGGCTATACACCCCTTTAACATTTCAAGCTTTTATGCCATCTGAAGGTGCCATGCTCTGCTTGTATTTGGCAGTACCATTCGAATTTGGCTTCTAGGGTATTTGCCACAATTTTGACTGCAGCTTTCTGGGGAATCTATGCTAATGTGAAATATCTTTTTCTTGGTAAATCATGCAAATGTTTAATGTGTAACTTGTAGAGTTTCTGGTTATTGAAGGTCCTTTTTTGTCCATGGGCCAGCGTTTCCATTCAACTATAGGGGGGCATCAGTTCCCGGTTGATTGATTTCATAACCTGAAAAACTTCTGGATTTAGTTTGGTTTGTGTTTATGCAAACGAATGCATTTTTGAGTATGTATTTTCTCACGTACTGAATCAACTGAGCATGCTTATAGGGGGCTTTGTGAATGATGAAACTAGCTTTCTATACGAGCATTGTACTTACCAAATTTTCTCATGTAATACCTTACCAAAAGGTTTCTATCAAAATTTGAAGTGTACTACCGAATCTGGTTATGTCAAATTATGTGAATATACTTTGTTTATTCTTTATTCCATGACATCTATTATTATCTCCAAAAAAAAATATTGGTATTCATTGCAGTCAATTAGTTAAATTTGAACTTTTGATTCAGAGCCAAGGTTGCTAGCAAAAGTGATGCAAATTGGGCAAATTGGTCTTCCATAAGCTCATCAAGGGTTATTGCCCTGGAATGTGGAAAGACGGCCTACAAGAGCCTTTGTTCCATGACTAAAACCTATATAATGACCTTTGCTTTTTGCTGCAGGGAAAACTTGGTACCGGTTCAGGTGGTGATTTGGCTCAGAGGAAACAGAAGGCCTACTGGTAAAGAATTGATCCTTTGATAAAGGAGAGATCCCAACTCAAGTGATGGTTATAATATTAATAAAAAGTAGGGTTATATATGCTGTATTTTTTTAATTTTTTCGTTCTGTTTTTCCTGGTTGGTGGGGGCGGGGGAGGTGGGAAACTGAGGACCTGTTTATCAGTTTTTCAAGGGATGGAGGTTATTCTGACAGGAAAGGAACCTCCCTGCAGCTATGGCTATGGCAATGACGTAACTGAACCATGAAGAGTACCTTTTGTTTTTGATTTGTATTACTAGACTCCTTGCAGAATTAAAACCTAAGGAAAGCATGGGGCCGACCGTCGAGGTGGTGTTGCCCGTGGGTGTATTGGATGGTTGGAGTAGGAACCGGCAAGGACACCTAATTGCATTGCTTGGTTGCTGAAAGCCCGAAACCTATCCACGGATGGCAAATTGGCTGTTGGCACTTTCTTAGAGAATGGTTCTTATACGGAGATATTCCCAATGCAAGGCTGTTCAAACAGTGTTCAAATGGGGCTTGCACTGATTGAAGCCGGTCTCGACGGAATTTAGCATACAAATGGTCCCCATGACTTGGAATCTTGTGAAGTTGAACAATTGGATTTGGATGAAGTACTTGTCCTTTTGAAACAACCCAGAGGTTGACAGGAAGTGCCACTGATCGGTGGATGATGACCAAGGTTCAAAATATTAGTATCAGAAAGTTTATGGATCAGGTTGGAAATGGATGGGTCGCCATTTTGATATGGTTGAAAGAGCTGGATACCCATTTGCTCTCATGAATCCCATAAATACATTATCACACTAAATTTGAGGGTTTCTTTTTTGAAACCGCTATTTTTTTTTTCATATATTAGAATGCATTACCCCTACCACTAGAAATTAGGATGTACGCTCTCCCACTTGAGGTTGAAATAACCATGTATAAGATACAAACATAAAAGAATACTGCAATGGATTGTTTAAAAGAATCCATTACAATAATAAAAAAAAAGAATCCATTACAGATGGCTGGAGTGGATGCCACTTGTTCTCTTTTCTTCTCATATTTTACTTACAACCTCTGCTCAGAGTATTTCTTTTACATTTTGATGCCTTGAGGCTTTGCTAATCAACTCAGAAAAAAAATAAAGACAAAGCAAACGTTTAATCTGCAACTCCTATCCTTAATCCTTCCCCTATTTCATCTTATTGTATTTGGAAAAGTATATTACACTTACAAAAACAAAAAATATATATGTACACGATGGAGAGTAAGATTTTGCTTGGTAGATGGTATAATGTAGTTCAGATTTGACCCATTATTATTATTATCCATATATCCAAATGTGAACAAAAGATCTCTCTATTTCTGTACGTGGGGTCCTTTGCTTCGTCAACACTAAAATGCTGCCATTTCTCCTTTGCAGACAATCTCAATGTCTTCTTTATTTGTCGTAACTTGCTACTGTCTTCATCAATGCCTTTCTTTTGTCGGTTGAAGAGTGAATACTACACTTCAATTTTAAGGGGCTCTGTGCTTCTCTCCATCTCTGTAACTCGTCATCCCATCTGTGCATGTATCTTCTTCCCTTGTTCGACCTGCTTTCTCCAATCTCTCGTTCTAGTCGTCAAGATGGATCCCAGTGAAAAGATTACAGTAGCCAGAACTAGTACAGCTGATCCGGCATAAACTCCGGCCCTGACGACGTAGCAATCTCCGTCCAGCCACCCTTCGCCATACGGCTGCCTCTGGCTTATACTTGTAGCCCCACCCAATAAGATCATTGCAAGTATGAAGCTGATCCTGTTGATCAAATTCAAACCAATATAATATTCTTAGAACATGTCCCCATGTGGTAGTACTATTGGCCACGAAACACTAACAAAGAAAATGGAGGGCCCGGATGCTGAAAATTGTTTTATCACTACAACTGGTTTGGCCTGACAAGGCCAACTCACAAAGCCATTTTCTAAGGATAGTACTTATCCATGGTTCCACCTATTTGATGATTGGTCCAATACATGAGTCAGACACCATGAATTAAAACATAACAACTTTATCAGATGGTCAGGATTATACCATCAATGAGGTTTGTGGGCTGGCCATGACTGATCTAAAAGCTGCTCATGGATTTCAAAAATCTTGGGTGCTGTGGTGGGCCAATATATCCTTGCCATTGATCAAAAGCTTTGTAGAAAATCAAAAGTTGGTGAGGAGAACTGGAAAAGAATTGACTACCTACCAAGAGAGAACCAGCAAAGCGATTGCAATTTTTGGTTTTCTGGGCTTGAAACCGGTTTTCTTCTCTCTTGAGCAGAATTGCATGCCGATGGCAGTGTTCCCGGCGATCTGAACCACCAAGAGACAGACCAAAGCTGCGAGTCCGAGCCCAAAGGCTGGGCTAGCTGGAAGGTAGCATAACTTTCCATCCAATTTGATATCCCTGACCTTCAAAAAAGCAACCCAATAAACAGCCCCAGCGAAATCATCAGGAATATGGAACAATTTCTCTGAGCCATCAAATGCAGGGCAGACATGAAAAAGCAGGAATCTAACATTTACGCTACTATTGCGTATAGATGAAGAACTCATGGAACAGCACCTTACCTTTGTTCTCTTCACCTCGGCGGCAATACATGTGGAGAAGGCAACCAGGCCGAGGAAGACAATGGTTGAGCAGATTATCACGAACCCATGTCGTTGTTCCTCCATTGGAGACCGAATTTCCTATCTGCAGCAGAGCCCGGAGAAGCCTTGGGAGTTCCCCAATTGAATAAACAGAAAAAGCTTGGAGCTTACTCAAGGGAAAGAAAGATATGGAGGTCTCCCTTCGGGATCTCTTCCGTTGTGGTTCTCAAGACTTTCTTCCAAAGTCTTTCATAATTGCTTGGAAGGAGAGATACCATTCCAACTGTACTTAGACGATATAGAACATCTGATGAAGCTTGGGATTTCATCTTGCCTGATCTCATCTAAGCAGTCTCATCTCCATTGACAAGGAGCTCGTCAACTACTACAAGGTTCCCAATCGTTGTAGATAGTAAATAAATAATACAAATAGAAAGATTGGTTTAGTCTACAAAGCAAGGTGATGATTCCTCCTAGATGGAATTCTGGGTTGTGGATATATATAAAAACTACAAATGGGTTCCTTCTTTAATTAATCAAAGCATTAGAGATCGAGGATGAATGGTCCCAACAGCATCAAGAGCTTTAAGACTCAATGGCTTATGGGATATTTTTTGTTACAGAAATACATGGTGGGTGGCCAATCCACTTTTGTTTATTGGAGGGGATTTGGTTGATTATTTTGGAGTTCATGATTCTTCCAGGAAAGTTCCAAACAACCAAATTCTTTTGTGTTTGGATTCTGGGGGTGTAGGGTCCATGCAAGACGACGTGTGGATAGGTAGCTTCAAACTGAATCAGACCCAGATTGTGTCACAGACTTGGACAAGCAAAATGAGGATAAAAATGAGTCACGTACCTTGTTTAGGGGAATGGTGGGTAAGTTTTAGCTGGTGCAATTTAGGTCGGGTTAGTCCGAAGTCCGAACCCAATCCAAAGGTGAGTTAGGTTGAAGGCCTCTCTCTGTTAAGGCAAGGATTGAAAATATGAATCCAATTTTAACTTCAGGTTGTATTTCAGTATTTGGGTTGAGGCTCCGGACAACCTGATTCGACTTTGAACTCGTTTAGCAGAACTTGATACATTTATTATGTTTATTCACTTTTGTGTTAGGGCAATTTTTATGAGATGCTGGAACGGTACGATCCCAGAAGAACTTTTGTATTGGGCCAACCTAACCTCAATACAACCTGATCCCATCCATTCAATAGGGTTGACGTCAACCCCAAGCACCTGACCCAGCATGGTTGAACCCTTAGTAAATTTCATTTTCATTCAATGATGATTTTCAAGTGGTCCATTAATATTCGAATTTGAATTTGATTAAATATTTGAATATTCGATTTGATTCGAATTTGATTAATTAATTACTTTAGATAATTAAAAAATATATAAAATAAATATTTTATTAATATAAAGTATATAAATATATAAATTATTTATGTAACTTAATTATTATATATAAATTATATAAAATATTTTATATATTATATATAAGAATTAAATAATTGGTCGAATTCAGATATTTATCGAATTGAATCAGGTCATATCCGAATTTGAATCCGATTAACTATTTGGTATGAATAGGATATCCAAATTCGACTGATTAGATATTTGAATTATCCGAATTCGATTCGATTATGCTAAATATCAAAATCGAAATCGGATTTTCGAATACCGTTTACACCCTAATTACAAATGAAAACATAAATGCCTATTTCATATTTTAAATTACTTCATTAATAAATGTTGCTAAAAATCTATTATTTATTATTTTATCACTAGTATCTAAACCCATGCAATGCATGAACTTATAGAAGTTAGGTTTATGTTGGCAAATTTAGGTTTTTGATTTAATTTGGGTTTAGGCTAGGGTTCATATGAGTTAGGCAGAAGTTAGGTTTTGCATGGCTGATTTCGATTTTTGGTGTCAATTTGATTTTAGGCTAAGGTCCATATTTAGAGCTAGGCAGAAGTTGGGTTTTTGGTGGGCAAATTTAGATTTTTGTCATCAATTTGGTTTAGGATTTGATTGGAAAATTTAGGTTTTTTGTGTCAATTTGGGTTTAGGATAATGTCTATATTTAGAGTTGGGCACAATAAGTTAAGTTCTAATTGGCAAATTCGGGTTTTTGGTGTCAGTTTGGGTTTAGAATAAGGTCTATATTTAGAGTCGGGCACAATAAGTTAAGTTCTGATTGTCAAATTCAGGTTTTAGGTGTCAATTGGTTTAGGCTAAGGTCCATGTTTAGAGTTGGTTTGTCCTTTAACTTAATTAACTGAATCCATATAATTTATTGAGAGAAAAAGGGTTGAGATTTGACAAGAAAGAGAGAGAAAAAGAGTTTTAAGAATGAGAGAATAATGATTGACTTTATCAAAGACAATTGAGATTCGTGAGGTTTATATTTTGACATTCTATATTTAATCATTAATTTAAAAATAAATAACCACATGTGTGTGAAATGAAAGGATAAAGAGGTTTGGGTGAGTTGTTGTTCAAAAATGTATTTTTTAAGGGAAAAAGTGAAGTAATAGTGGTTAAACAAAGTTTTTATATATTTTTAGCTCTTTAAATACAAATTAGTAGCAAAAATGATTTTTTTTTCTTTTTTAGTTATTGAGCTTCAAATTATTCCTTTTTTATATAGCTTATATATTATTATATACATAAACCAACTGTTAGTTGCTTAGTCAGTAGATACTTTCACTTCTTTGGCTAGTTGTAGTTAGAGACTTGAGATCAAATCCCATTGCCACTAGGGTTGGGGGATGTTTACCCCCATTGTATAGCCCTATAAAGCATTAAAGCCAAGAAAATGTGCTTACCATGAGACCCATAACCAAGTTAAGAAAACAATTTCAAAAATGAACTAATGAACCAAAAGCTCATGTTAAGTGTTTACTTACTGTATTTTATTGTTGAACTAGAACAATTCATGAAACAAATCTACACTAAATTAATAAAAAAGAGAAAAACCTAATAAACCATGGAAAGTAGCAATTAATGGTTTCTTTAGACTTTCATAGAAAAAGAAGATTGGTTCACCCCATAAAATTAGTTTAAGTCCAAGTTAGGTTTCGTATTTAGAATTGGTCCTAAACCTAACCCAATCCCTCTAATTTATACCCCTACTTTATTAAAGACAACCAAAAGGAATCAATAGAGAGTTAAGAAGAAAGGAGGGATTTAATGGGGAGAGGAGATGTTTGTGACAAACATTGACTATCAAGGGGTGTGTGTGTGTGTTTGTGTGTGTGTGTGTGTGTGTGTGTGTGTGTGTGTGTGAGAGAGAGAGAGAGAGAGAGAGAGAGAGAGAGAGTATATTTAAGAATGATCTTATTAGAGAGTCAAGATGGATTTTATAAGAGACAATGAAGACCTATGTGGGTTTGATTTGCTATATTTTTAATAATTTCATTTAATATGAGCTATGTAGTGAATGATATAAAAGTTATATATATATATATATATATATATATATATATATATATATACTACTTATAAANATTTTGAATGACCGGCTGAGTATTTTTTGAGCCATTGATTTTGAATGTCATTCAGGTATTTTCTGAACCATTGAACCATTTTGAATGTCATTCAGAAAATATCATTTTTAGGTATTTAATGTGCTCAAAAGGTACATAATGCGATGACCGGCTTAGAATATGTCATTTTAGCTTGTTACGTGTAAAACTAAAAACCTCTCTTCTTTGGTTGAAAACTATTCAGCCATTGATCTACCATTGATCTCCTCTTAATGGCTGATAACTACTTAACCGGTTATCTACACACATTTCTTGCCTCCAATGCCGTTGGGTCATCTACACACGCTTGAGTTTCATACGTGTAGATGCTTATTATTATTTCCTCAAGTAATTTAAGTAATATATATATATATACTACTTAAGTAATATATATATATACTACTTATGCCCCCTTGTGCTTTAAGTAATATATATATATATATATACTACTTATAAAAGTGTGAATGAGGAGGTATTGGCTTCTGGAATTTTTCTTTACTAAAATACCCCTCCTCTTGAATTTAATTCATCTCTATTAAAATGGCATAAAATGTAATTAAAAGAATACCATTAAGTACATTAATTACCTCTCATTAAGTATTCTTAAATTTAAGCCATTAAATAAATCACATTCTCTCTCATTGAATCCAACATTTATACTTTTGTTTATCATCATTAAATTCCACTAGGCTGTGTTTGGTTTTAGGAAAAGGTAGGGAAAGGAGGTGAAGTGTAGGGAAACCTTTACAAACCTTGTATAGGTTTCCCTATGTTTCCCTTCCTTTCCCTACCTTTTCCTTCAAACCAAACATATCCCTAATAAATCCATACACAATAATTATTAATATAATGAAATTTTATATTTTAAAATAAACATAGAAATGAAATCATATTTTTCATCAAGGTGGTGGGTAAGTAGTTCAACCATTTGGATGAAATGGATAATTTCATGATGTCATAAATAAATAATACAAATTTAGAAATATAGAAAATACATTTATTTATTATTATTAAATTCCACTAATAAATCCAAACATAGTAATTATTAATAGAATGAAGTATATTTTAAAATAAACCTAGAAATGAAATCATATTTTCCATTTAGATCGTGGGTAAGTACTTCAACCATTTGGGTCAAATGGATAATTTCATGGTGCCATAAATAAATAATACAAATTTAGAAGTATAAAAATATAAAAAATATAGAAAAAATGAAACTTTGATAAAATAAGTATGACAAAATAGACATAATTTTAAAATAAGTATGATAAAATAGATGAGAAATTAAGTATGATAAAATAGATATAATTTTATTATTATTTATTTGTCATATTAAAAAATAAATATGATAAAATAGACATAATTTTATTACTGATGGACATCAAATATGCAATTTAAAACTGATGGAAAATTAAGCCATCTTTCTATCTAGGGGGTGGGTTAGTGGTTCAACCTTTCAAGTCAAATAGGTTAACCCATGACGATAATTAAAAATAAAATTTTTAAAATAGAATCTATACTACTTTAGAAAGCGTGAATGGCCTCAAGAATATTTTTGGATTTTTTAGGACAAAATTTACCCCTTTATATTATTGATAAAAATAAGGGCAAATAGGGTAATTAGTTATTGACATTAAATGAGTTGAAAAGAGGTAATTTTAAGATATTCAATTCCCTCTCATTAAATCCAACATTTAAGTTATTAACTTGCATTCATGTTCGTTGAATCATATATTTAAGTAATTTTCGTTTCTTCTCAAGTTCTCATTATTATGCTCTGTTAATTAATTTCATACTTAATAAATTAATAATTCCAATAAAATAAAAGCTTATACTTTTAAAATCTACTTAGAAAAAAATAGTGTTTTCATCCATGTGGTGGTAAGAAATTAAACCATTTTGGGTCAATCCATGTTGCCATGATTAAATAATAAAATAAAAAATAGATAAAATGAAAAAATTAGAAATTAAAAAATTGGGAACATTTTTAACATGCATATTAAATAACAATAAGTATGATAAATAAGAAATATTTTTATTAATGATGGAAATGGAATGTAAAATTTAATTGG